AATTACAACGTTCAAATTTTAAAAATAAACGTTGAAACCACGCCTTAGAAACGTCGAAAATCTGCCTAGAAACGTCATCGTACAACTGTTAAAACTAACGCGACAACTATTCGCATTAAACGGTCTACCTGAATCCGCAGTATAAGTTAGGGTTAGGATCAGGGGTTTAGGGTTAGGGGTTAGGGTTAGGGTTAAAGTTAGCGTGTGTATATATGTTTATGCATGGAGGTATCTAGTTGACTTTGCAGTACACTAATATCCATTACATAACGTTTACTATATTGGTGCGCGAAACATGGAACGATAACCTCATTTCGTACATACTCATAGAGATTATAAAAGAAATGAATAGAGGGGGCATTGCAGGAAAGATTAAGGTTGGTGTTCCACACCCCCCCCCCCCTTTCCCCACCTTCCCACACCCATTCATTTTAAAACATTCAGTGCCGTTCCAAAATTTGTTTTGTATTAAAGTTCAGGTATTCTTGTTGATTTTGAGCTTTAATTAAGCCCTTAATGCTTGAACTATGCTAAAACTGAAAAATATCAATGTTTTCAAAATTGTATTATTTTCGTATTTTCCCGCTCTTCCTAAAGTGGCATTGTATCCGGGAAATGAGAATTTGCATCCGGGCAACGAAATTTTAGCCAATCAGATAGTGTTATTTTCCCCGATTGCGGGAACTATAATTTTAATCCCTCGATTTTTCCAGCAATGCCTATGCGCCTTTTCGTAAATATTTAAAGCGTCAGGAACCTTGTCCTCAGCGTCAGGAACTTTGTCCTCAGCGTCAGGAACCTTGTCCTCAGCGTGAGAAACCTTGTTCTCAGCGTCAGGAACCTTGTCCTCGGCGTCAGGAACCTTGTGTTCAGCGTCAAGAACCTCGGGAGAAACCTCCGAAGTTTTTACTCTTCTGCAATCGAGTGAGATCATATAAATTTGATTATCGCGTATCATGTTTATTATAATAATCACTATAATAATCACAGTTCACGAAAGAGGCATCCTTAATTCTCATTTCACGGAGCATTTTTATCAACAATCACGCCCCACGGCTGTAGAACAAATCACATTTCACGACACTAAAATCAAGCATTTCACATTTCACGCGAACAAATATTGACCATTCACGGCTCACGAAAATACCCTTTCCCACCCTCAACATGGCTATTCGCATAAAAATCTTAAGCTTTCTTATTTTGACATAATAGCTACTTTTCAATAAATATATTGATTTAAATTCATTGAATCAATATTTTACGTTCTTGAATGAAAGAACTCTTTAAGCTGTAGTGTAACTTATTTTTCAGTTTCTTGTTTTTATATATGGTTTGTTCACGAGATATTTCAATTTGTTTGATATGTAAGAAACTGAAAAATAAGTTACGCTACAGTTTAAGGAGTTCTTTTATTTAAGGAAATAAGAAATTTTTTGTCATATGCACTTTAAGTTTTAGGCCAGTTGTGCCAAAAGTTATCAGCGCTGGCGCACCATAAGGTTTCAGCGGCATTCAACATGTGCGTACTGCGTACCTATTTTCTGAGTTATGAGCAGAAATACTCAACACTGAATTTTGTGCCGTGTATGAAACTGAAGCTATTGAAAAACGCTATTTGGTGTAAAAATTTCAAGACTTTAGCTAAAAGGAAAATATTGAAAAAGTACACAATCAATAATTACGTTGTCAATAATCAACCAAGTTATCAATAATTGACGATAATATGCCATTTTGCAGTTGTTTTGCACTTTTAGATATTTTTCTTTTCGCTGAAGTCTTGAAATTTCCACACCGAATAGCAAATTTCAATAGCTTCAATTCGATATATAGCCCAACGTTTGGGATCAAGTATTTCTGCTCATAACTCAGAAAAACTAATTTGGCTTCAACAAATCACAGGCCTTCATCATAGCAGTTAGCCTACTAGTTTATTTATAGTTCATGACGAGCCAGACAGCTCCAGATTGGCAGCTCCAGATTGGCGAATCTGGAGCCAGCTCCAGATACAATTTCAATCTGGAGCTGGAACGACTAGTTTGTAAACAAACTGCTTTGGCCGTTTAACTACCAATGGAAATTCAATTTTTTTGAAAGACCATTTTTACTTGTCATATTTCTTAGTATGTGATGGAAAACGAAGTCATTATTCCGTTTCATTCGTCCATGGTAACTTCTGAAAGATCACTGTTTTTTCTGACAAAGGGGCTGGTCAGCGGTGGGATAGATCGCAAAGCTCGTTTAAAACCTTATTTTGTTACCTTTATAATGAAAAACTTAAAAATTTGATCGATGACCATTCTGGAGAATGTATTCAAAAGTAATTTCATGCGGTCAACTTATTCCCACATCGCGAAACCGCGATAAATAACTCACGCAAAGTTAAACTGTCTAATTTCGCGCACGGCCCGGCTGTGTTAATTTTATCCTTCCGTGAATACAACGACTTTGGTATCCGTAAATTTACGCTTTCGAGGAGTAAGAAATTGATATGTTGATGACATAATATCATTTCTTGCGCTTTTCTGAAGAACTAACGATATAAACATGTTTAATATCCGAAACACACAACACAAACGAGATCGCTAAAAACGGTGTTATTATGCGGCTCAAGTCGTCGAAAGGCCATAACATGTCAAATATGTCTAGCATCGTCTAAATTGCTTCGCAAATTTCTTGCTAATTTCGCCCTGCCACGAATTTCTAAAAGATGACCCTTCTAGAGTAATATTCATACTATTATATTTTACAGCATTTGAAACTTTAGGATGCATATCCACCATGAGCAACTCATGAAAACACCAGCATTCGTTACCGAGATGAGAAATCAACTTTCAAGAGATGTGAAATATTACACCTAAACAATATTCCGTGTTATCTGGCACGTGCAAGACATTTAATAATCTCAGGAGAAAACCGTATTAACTATAATGTCATGCATAGGTTTATATACGCTGTATTCTTTTTTTAACACGTGAGCTAAAAACATCGTTTTTGCCCGTATAAGTTAATTAATAGGAGGGGTGTGTTTTAAGCCTTCTTAATTAACATAATCAGCACAATCGCAAATTCAAACCTACGCATGCTTTAAAAGTATTTTATCTTTGTGAAAAAGCGTAGTGTTTTTTCATGTATTGAAAAAATACAGCGCATACCTAAACAAGGAAAATTGCCTTGTTCCTATAAACCTATCCCTCGGCACTCTTAAATGCCTTGCCATGTCCTCATTGCATTTGCATGCCCAACCTCGTTCCCAGGCTCTTTGCTCTTGGGATGCTTCCCAAGAGCAAAGAGCCTGGGAACGAGGTTGTTGCATGCCGACATTATAGTTAATACGGTTTTCCCCTGAGATTATCAAATGTCCGGCACGTGCCAGCTGATGACGTGTTTATTGTTT